AGTATCAATTTCACTCCGATTCGAACTCAGGAACTAGACTAATATGTGTGAAAGCATGCTGAGATGGTTTTCTGCTCACCATAGTTATAATGAGTGGTTATTTGAGCATGCCAGACCTGACCTCACTAATGCTCTTTGGCTAGATGGAAAAATCCCCACAGCCATGCTCCAAAATCAAGTGGAAAGCCTTCCCAGAAGAGTGGAGCTTATTATAACCGCAAATGGGGGACTAAATCTGGAATGGCATGTGCAAAAAGCACATACGAGTCTGATGGTCTGGTGTTCACAAACTTTTGGCCATATAGTGTATTACATTTGCCAGTTTATCTGCTATTTATATGTGGCATGTGACATTTATATTGTCATGCTCTCGGAAATGTCCTATCAGGCTAAAGATTTTAATTAGCACTCAGCAATATATTGGCTAATACACAAATAGATCAAACATGTTTTAACTGACAAAGGTTTCATCACTTTACTGATGTTCTGGCACTAATTAAAGTGACAAATCAAAATCAAATCTCATACGAATTAAGTTCAGTAATTGGAAAGTTAGACTGTAACTTTTAATTTTGTGATTTCAGAGTCTCTCACTTGGATGAGGCATCATTATTAGAACTCAGCAAATTGTTAAATTAGCTGTGAGGTTTCAGGACATTATTGACATTCTGCCTCTAAACGAAATGTTAATTCAAAATCGTATCTGATGGGAAGTTAGACTGAAATTCTTTTCATTTTGTGATTTTTGAGCCTTTCACTGGGGTGAGGCATCAGGTTCATATTAAACTCTGTTACTCCATTAGCATCTGAAGTCTTTTTAGGAAAAAAAAGCTTAATTTCTACAGTTCTACTTCCTTTCACTCTGACTTCTATTCAGCCTATATTCTAAAACATTTCTATAATTTAGCTCTTAGTAGGGTAATTGTTTAAGCTTTGCTCTATCATCATCAGATCTCCAGTTTGAATTCTGAAGATGCCATAACCATCACAATCACAATTTCCTGTGACATATTATGAGAAAGTTAGAAAACATAACATGTGGTGGTTTGGGAAAAACTGTCTTATGTCGCTGTGGCTGAATTTTCAACCTTGCTAGCTAAGTGTGATTTCCTTTCACAGTGAATGGCATATATTGATCAAGCTGTTGGATAGATACTGCATGTGTCTCAGGCCAACAGGAATAAGCTTAAAAAGTTCAGTTTGTAATGAAATACTGGCTGTTAAAATGTCTACGATGCACACTAAATGATGCTTTTCACGCTTTTATCGGTTAACTTTAAAATGTTACAACTTCACTTCTGGTTGTGATACATGCAAAAGAAATTCAGTTTAGGGAAAGCCTGCAGTTTTCAGAACTGCATTGCAAAAAAAGACATTTTAGCAAGTAAAGATCTTGAATAATGGGAAAGTTTGTCATATTTCTCATTATGGGATTATTGTCTAACAAATCTAAGACAATTATGCTTATTTCTAGACATATTTACTAATTTCAAGCTTAAAATTATATTATATTATATTGGTAAATTGTTTCTTTCTGTAGATAAACGCTTGAAATAAATTGAGCTAAATTATATTTGCAAAAAAAAGAAAAAAAACAGGAAAAAACTGAGGAAGAACAAACTAACAAACTTTCATTTTGTAATGAGGAAACATGTCGATCTGCTCCTTTATGACTGTGCTGAATAAAGTGTGTGCACGCATGCATGTGTGGAATCTGGACGCTCATTCAGATGAGAAGATAAGATCAGGAAAAGGATGGAGAGAGAGAGAGAGAGAGAGAGAGAGAGATGAATTATTCATCCATCAGGAAATAACAGATGGTTATACCCCTGCCTCCTAGCATGAACTCTCTTACTTTGTAATGTTGTTTTATTGTTCATCTTGGAGTCAATTTTTTAGCTTATGCTGTGCCAAACAACATTTTAAATAGCAATAAGGACTGATAATTCACAATATTACATAAAATGTGGCTGAAAATGATGAGCCAAATGCATGAATTAAATCACCACACATGTAAACAGCATCTGTTCACCAGTGTCCTAATTAACTGTGATCATTAAGTCATATTGTGAATTTTTATCCTCAGGAGCTGCTGAAAGTGTAGCTATAGCCTTTTAAAACAATATTAACGCTGGAATTTTGGAAGCAGGTCTGTAATAGAGTTTAATTGCATTTGCGTGCCTTTAAAATAAGCATTATTTTCATTTGCTCCATTTTCTTTGGTGTTAACTTTATTGCACGGCAGTGTGGGTGGGAATTGCGGGCTTACAGGAGAAGTGAGGATGAATTGCATTGCTAAAACACTCCGTCATAGCAATCAGAGCGTGACAGAGCAGCATGGCTCAGAGCAGATTGACAGGCACATTAAAATGCAGATTGTGTTTTAGGGTTCAGAAATTTTACCAACATTCAAATGGTCCGCAACCTCACAGGCATATAAACTCACCGGTTTTATCGTATTCTAGATTAATTCTTTTATCTACAAAAAATAAAGGAAGATTTGACCAGTCAATGGTACTCACAATTAACCCAATAATAAAATAGGGCATAAAAATGTTTAAAAACTTCAAGCAAGAGGACTAACACCAGTTCTGGATGATGTAATATACAGTGACTTGTGTAAATATTCATGCCCCTTAGAACATTTCCACTTTTTGTATTGTTAGAACCTTGAACTGAAATTGACTTAATTGGGATTTTTACCACAGTATATGTATCTGTAACACACACACAGGTCATTACATGTCCACACTAACAGAGGTCCTGGTCACCTAACCACTAAAGACTCACAATTTCCTCTTAACTTCCTGTTCTATCACATATAAGCACATGGTCTACAAGCACATTTTTGCGAAGTCTTGCCAACCACCTATGTCATAATTTCTCTTACTTGTTTTTTTTTTAATGTTTTTTGACCTTTGCCTGTTGGGTCTGATTTGCATATTGATCGTTGCCTCATTTTCGACACAACTTTGCAATTTGGAGTTGTCAGTAAACCTCACGTATCCAGATCCTCAACAATCTCCTCTTTCCAGTGCATTACACTAACAAGGTGAAAAATTGTTTCATTTTTACAATAAAACTAAGTTGAACAAAAGCAGACATTTCTTGGTTGCATAAATATTCACCCCCTTGGGGCAATACATATTGGAACTTGATGTCTCTGTCATTTTTGCATATCTGGATCCTGATTATCTTCTCCCACTGTTCTTAACAAAATTGCTCAAGCTCTGTGTGATTTGATGACAACCATTGGTGAACAGCAAATTTCAAGTCTTGCCACAAATTATTATCAGATTTAGGCTGGGCTGTTCTAACATAATTTGGTTCGTGGTATGAACCACTCCAGTGTAGCTGTGGCAGTACGCTCATGATTGTTGTCTTGTTTGAAGATGAACCTCCACCCCATTCTCAAGTCTCTTGCAGACTGGAACAGGTTTTCTTCTATAATTGTTCTGTATTTGGTGCCATCCATCTTGTTGTGAACTTTGACCAATTCCCCAGTCCCCACTGATGAAAAGCATCCCCACAACATCATGCTACCACCACCATGCTTCACACTAGAGAAAGCGTTCTCAAGGTGATATGCAATGTTGGGTTTCCACAAATGTAGCACATTGTGCCAAGACCAAAAACGTAAATTTCGGTCTGATCAGATCAGAGTATCTTTTTTTCCACATGGCTGAGTCTTAAACATACCTTCTGGCAAACTACAAATGTGATTTCCTATGACTTCAGGACATGGTTTTTCTTTGCCTCTCGGTTGTCGTCTGTACCCATTCACTGACTTTTCATGGACGACTTCTTCTAGGTCGTGGTTGTGCTATATTTGTTCTATTTTTTAAAAAATGGATTCAATGGTGCTCCATTTTGTGTAGATTCCTAATTAATTCCATTCCATTTCCAAGTTGTAACACTACAAAATGTAGAGAACTTCAAGTGGAATGGATACTTATGCAAGACTTATGCAATATGATCATATTTCTCATTATATAGCTGTTAGTTTGTTGTAGTTTGCTTCATCAATATTTAAAGCCTGGTATTTGCTGTTCCAATTCCCCATTCTGTTTTGCTTTCACAAGTGTGCTCATAAAGCCAATATAGCAATATTTGCAATAATCGCAGCAGAAAGGGTCGTAATAAACTGTGAAAATTCAGAGAGTTTCAAAGAGAAATTCAATGTTGCCATTTGTACTGTTGGCTTGAAACTTGTTGCTTAAATCTACTGTTTGATCACTGTAAAGTTGAATACTGTTTGTCAGCTTGTGGTTTGGACTGGTATCAGTTCAGATATATTTGGCAGAGTTAATGCGTAGTAGCTCAGTGCTGCATTACTTAAGTCAGTATGGAAATAAAAAAAGAGGTTCTTTTTTTAGTTGAACTAACCTGTGGTGTATTGAATTGCTTCCTTTGATTTGTTGTTTCTCCATCCAGAGAAATCAGTAGAAATTGTAGCTGCTTGGAAGGATTTTATCAGATTTTTATTGTATTTGTTGTCTGGGAATCCATTATACTCCATATACACAACATTGTTTAATTTAATCCTAATGATACAATTTCAATCAATGTGTTTTAAAAGCAAATATCTTTGAAAATAACAAAATTGATGTTTTCCATAGAAAATAATTTCATCTTTTAATAGAGTCAGAGCTCCTCGGTAGAAAATAGACTTAGAGAGAGAGAGAGAGAATAATGGGTCTCTCTCTCTCCCTTCTCTCTCTTTCATATATTATATATATATATATATATATATATATATATATATATATATATATATATATGTATGTATGTATGTATGTATGTATGTATACACATAAAGTATTAGCACTAAAATTTGTTGTTCTTTTGACTGCTTCCATTAGGGATCACTACAGCAGATCACTTTCCATTGTCCACATATTGATTTGGCACAGGTTTTACACTAGATGCCCTTCCTGACACAACCCTCCCTATTGGGAACAGCACTAAGAGTGCACTAGCCTGTGCACCCTCAGTGGTGGTGTTCAGCATGGGGCTCAAACCCACAATCCAGGTATCAAGAGACCCTTTCTCCACCAACTGAGCTAGCCAGGCACCGAATGTTTGCATCAAAAGACTTTCCTGAAATCAAGTCACCATTAGAACTTCGTGCCAATATGCAGCTAAGCTGCTAGCGGAAGAAGGAAGTGACAGCTAGCTAACTAGACTTAGAAACTACAAATTTCAGAAATGAAAGTTTTCAAACAGAACTTTATACTTATAGTTTATTTACAATATTTAAAAAAATTTACACCACCACTGCAGGCTCCAAGTGATTCCAACTGGCGCCCATATGTTCAAGTTAAAATGTCAGTCATATTCATTCCCAATTTACTGTTTGGCGAGTGGTTACAAGGTTCCGCCCCTTTGAGAGGTCTACCAATCATCATAAGGAGAAGCCGTGGGTCCAGGCAGGACAAATGAAGAGTGCGCTGATTTAAAATAATGTGTTGAAAGCCTGTTGTCAAACGAATATTATCCTTTCATTCCATTAATACACTCTGTGCACAAACGTGTAACAAACACCAAGAGATGCACCGGCTTCAAGAAGTGTTTGTTGGTGCCGTGTCAGAGGATTCAAGCGAGATTTTCACAATATCTAGTGAGATATTTGATCATTTGATTCACTAAAATATTGAATTCCACCAAGATTGATAAATATTAGATACTCTGGTAAACATTTCAGTGGAAAAATTTAATGAAATTTTAGAGGAAGCCAGTGAAACCAGATTAGATATCATTAAACACACTTTCAGTGATATCTAATCAGTGTGAGTGTTTAGACAAGGGTTTAGATTAAGACTAAAATATCAAAAGATTAGACCTACTGGGAAATAGAGCTCAAAGAAAAATGAAACTTGGACTCATTATTAAATTGTTGGTGAAGATTTCATCATCTCTCAGTTGTGAAAATCAAGGTAATTAGTGACTAACTTAAAAGTTTACAAGGAAAAGTCCAGACAAGTGTTCAGAGCATGCTGAAATAATGAATAACACGCATAAGCAGCCACTGTAGGTCAAGGATCTTTTTTTTTTATGTTGTTTCTGCTCTGATAAGCGTTTAGCTTCTAGACTTTTAGCTTAAATGTGACACATTTCAAAAAGCTATTTTCTAGTGGAAAACTGCACATTTCTAAGTGAAACCAATGTCACAGAGGCGTTTTAACTCTGCCTCATCGACTAATAAAAAACTGTCCATGTTAATCTCCCTGACTGTAATGCCATCTGTGTGTTCAGAGGATCAGACAGCAGGGCGAGTTCAAAATGAACATTTATTCAAGTTCACGTCTCCTCCTGAACAAACAGAACCACTCTGACTGTCACCGTGAAGCAAAGTCCTGCTGAGAAGAACCTTTACTTTAACTGATTGAAACTTGTATCACAATTTGAAAACAGCATGAGTCCGAGATTATTACCATCTCACATATGCACAAATCTCATAAGGGAATGGATCATTTTGTACACGTTCATTGGCTTATGATCTTGTTTATTTGGAGAAACGTTTACAGAATTGCCTAAATCCATTTCCTTAATATGTCTCAATATTCAATCAGGTATGCTCTAATAAAATAAACGACAAACTCAAAAGACCATTACTTGAAAGGTTGAAAGGTACGTGTTGGTGTGTTTAATCTACATTAGCCATGCTCTCCCTCATATCAGTGCAGTACAAATTCAATATTTGGTGTGATGACCCTTTGCTCTATATATATATATATATATATATATATATATATATATATATATATATATATATATATATATATATATATATATATATATATATATATATATATACACATACATACTCACACACACACACACACAGTACTGTGCAAACGTCTTAGGCACCCTATTTTTTAGTACAAACTTTGTTGTAGATTTTTATTTTTATTATTGATTCATTTTATTTTATTTTTCATTCATTGATTCATTTAAAACATTTTAGAATTCCAAACATTACTTTTCCAGCACAAAATTAAATGTTACAGAAAAATGTTTGTATGTCAGTAAAGAAAGCAGCAAATTACAGAAGAAACCACTTTTCATCTTAGGTGCCTAATTTTATATATATATATATATATATATATATATATATATATATATATATATGTATGTATGTATGTATGTATATGTATTAGTGTGTGTGTGTGTTTCAGATGCACATGCAGAAGCCCAGCTAGAGTTCAGCATGCTCTGTTTTTGTCTGTTTCTGTAAAATAATCGATCTTCAGTATATGATGATGAGCAGCCTGAAATCTAACAGTCATCTGAAAGCAATATGTGCACACCCCCCTCTCCATGCTCCCTTTCTTGCAAATGTTAGAAGTGGAGCAGTGATGAATGTAGTGCTGCAAGGGATTTAGCTCGGTGTGTGTGTGTGTGTATCTGTAGTGTGTCACTGTCATTTAGCTTGGACACACACTCTCACAGCCTCCGAATTCATGACAGAAAGAATTCATTTGCAAAATCGGCTGCCACCTATAATGTGTGCTGTGAAGTGGAAGCCACGGCTCTTCACCTGCCAAACATCAGCCCACTGGCACGAAGGGTGACAAAAGAGAAATTGGGATGAAAATAAAAATCAAAGCAGCACAAGTGCAGAGGCTATGCTTCCTCCTCTGACCCAGAAGCAGCAAAATTCAGCCATGCTACATGTACGTCCCCTGTCTACCATAAAAAAAATGTCCTATTGTGTCTCTTTATTGTTTATGTCCCAACATGGCATCTACTATATAAATCTTGAGGAAAGTGGTATGTTTGATCCATTTCCTTCACACAGTGATTACAATTTAGAGCTGTTCCAGCAAATTAGCAGGACTCTTGTGCAGCAGAGGTGCCAATATTTCCTCATTAACCTGTCAAAGCAAGAATCAGGTGGGCAGCAGCGCACACACACAGTGAATAATAACACCTGTAAAAAGTGTGAGATTTTATCGCTTTACTCCAGTTTTCTTTTCTCCAGCCAGTTATAGATAGACAGCAGTGACATGATATATGTTTTTGTTTCACATGAACTGAACAGCTTGAAAATGTATTGTAGTCAGATTTCCTTTCAGCGCCAGCATCCTTGATAACGAGTAACCCAAACGGCCATGGAAGCAGGCTCTCATTCTTTGTAATTTGGTGTACTTTAGCAACAATAATACAAATTATTGTAGGGATCATCAACCAGTGGTTCCGCAATACGGATCCAGTAAATTATGCAGCAGAAGAAAAGATTAAAACTGCCACAGGCCCTGCGTGGGCTAACCCACATGGGGCATATGTGGGATTAGTGTGGGGTTGCCCTGCCCACACTGCCCCACAGTAAACCCACACCTACCCACGGTGGGCCCACATGGGGCATGTTTGCTGGCTTCAGCATCTCTAAACATAAACTAGAAGCAGATCCTCTTGTAGCAGTTGATCCAATCACATGCACTTATACACTACATTTACCCTTTCTGGTCTGATTAGTAATGAAAACAGAATGTTTAAAGATGAATAGACAGAGATGTAGGCGCTAATTTCTTTGCTTCGTGTTCAAAACAGAGGTGTCTCATTTGTTCAGAGTAGAGGTGTGTATTGGGACTAATAAGGCACAAGGAGTGGGCAGGAAGCATCCAGGATGAAGAAAGGCCACGGTGTTACATCAGAATCCATCGCCCATCCACGAGCCACCTCAACTCCACATCCGAATCCAGAACAAACATTCCTTCGCTCTAACTCACCTGACCTCTAACAACACCTACTTCCTGTTTAGCCCCCTCTCATCCAGTGTATTTAAATCACTTACTCATCTCTAATCTTTGTGAGTTTTTTGAGTGTTATTTTCTCTGTATGCTTTTTTGACCTATGGAAATTTGATCAATCCACCTCTCCCTGTTCCACATTTAAGGGTTTGGGATTTGTTAATAAAGGTCATGCATACATCCAATCACTTCCCCTAACTGACACATGGGAATGTACAGGTTGATCACATGACTTTGTCCTTTAATGCATTCATTCATTCATTCATTCATTCATTCATCTACAGTAACTACATCATCCTGGTCAGTGCCACAGTCTTTTAGGTTACTGGTTTTTTAAAATATTTTGGGACGTAGAATCAAGTAAGTTTGTTAGAAAATATCATGGATGGATACAATAAAAAATAACTGAGGGAGTGGACGAGATTGGTCAAACGTTCCGTGGTCAGTCACAGGCATATTTCTAGTTCAGAGGGGTAATATGAAGTGCCAGTGCGAATAATACATAGCAATATGTCATTTATAGCCATGAACTTTTCATTAATGGTTAAGCAATAAAAGGTAGCATGCCATTCAGTCATGTTAGCTGCTTATCTGGATCTTTGTAAGACTGTCTTTATAAGACAGGACCTTTATCAATTTTAGATGAATACCCTTGGTCAGAAAATTATTTGATTGCTCTGCTATCCCTTTTCTGAGACTGGAGAAGTCAAAGGGAATTTGTCATTTGCTGCTTTGGAGCATTTCGTTTCATCACTACTCCACAAACACACAAAGTGGATGTTTGGGTCTCACTTTTCCAGAAGGTATAGTTTGACAAGGTTGTGGTATTAGAAATGATCTCAGACGGCCGGTGGCATCACATGTTTAACAGCATGTTGACCAGCAGAGACTCTGGTACACTAGTGCATTAGGAGGAAATGAAAAAAGCGGGCTGAAAGAGGGAAAAACACACAGCAGAGGAGTCAGGAAGTCTATAATCAAACAAGCAAAGTGCACCTAGAAATGGAAGCATGCTACAAAACCAAAGGCGTTCATTTTAGTCCAATTATGGCGTTGCAGCCCTGTTTGCCGGCATGACAGGCTACAGAAGAGAGTGTGATGCACCTGTTATCAGTCAGTACATCAGGAGAAGAAGAAGCCAGGATAAGCCACTGAGCTGAATTGTAACCAGAGATGGCATAAAATAATTCTACGACAGTAACTCGGTGTTACCTTTATGAAACTTTTATTGTTGAACTTTATAGAACTGTGTCTCATTGTGGGCATCAAACTATACATACACATAGGAACACAGTCAATAGAATACAGATAAGCAGCCCC